CAGTGCCCACTCCTCTTCCTCTGCTGCTGCTGTGCAGGCTTTCACAGATGTTCCTCCCAGAAAAGGCAGCTGCAGCTCTCAACCTCTTGGTTTCCATCTCCCTGGTGGTCTGGCTCCACCCATCTGTGATGGAGCTGCTGATAGTTCCTCCCTTCCCCAACCCTCCTGTTGCAAGGACTAAGCTATCGTAGTCACAGGAAGAGGAATTAATTTTTGCATTTCCCCCCCTTTCTTCTTGTCTCCTGGCTGTATAGCTGTACCCTTCCTTTCTTTCCCTAGTGTTTCTGATTCTTGTTTCTTAAACAGTATGTAAACAACTGAGAAAAAACTTGAGAGTGCAGATAAGCCATATTTACAGTCAGATATGGTCTTACAGTTAACACAGTAGCCTGAGGTCTAAATAAGGGTTGGGTTTTTTAGTTTGCTGAAGGAAAAGTACATCTTAAAATTTAAAGTGAAGGAAGGATTTGCATTGGTTTTTATTCTCCTACTTTTGTTATGATCTTTTTTCTCCTTGCAAGGAAGTTTTGATCTTTCCACTCCCTATGTAAGGACTGCATAGCTGTTTGCATACATGCGCATTGGCTTGAAAACACATTTCATCTGTTTACAAGTTTCAGTTTAAGGGCAAAATACTAAGGCAAGAAAATGCGTCATCTCTGGGCTGTTGTGACCCTAGGGTATGTCCACGCCACATTTCGGAAATGGGATGACTGCATGCCTAGGCCTACTCAAAGCTGGTTTTATACTCAGAGGCACCAGTGTCTGAAGTGAACTGAAGAAAAATCAGTTACTTGCAGAACTTTGCTGAGTTTGGAGTCTGCTGGCAGCAATCCTTGCAAAGGTAACACGTGGCTTTTTCCCATCCCTCCCAAAGCATAGCTTTTAGGTCAGACCTATGACATCTTCTCAGGGTTGCAGAAATTCACAAAGCCATAGCACATCAGTAGCTTTGCAGCAGTATAGACAAAAAAGTGCCATTATTACTGGTTGTGCCACTTCCCATCCATAAAGTATGCTGGGCTGAAGAGCATGAAGCAATTAATGGCTGAATAGTGAGCACAAGGTTATATTTACCCTATGGGCCTGCATTTGACAGCACAGCCTTAATGCAGGAGTAGTCAGTGCTAAATGGGCCAGCAACGGACATGAACAATTTGAGTCTCTGGCTGTCAGGAGAAATTCTGTATGGCGGTTTTTCCAGGTGTGTATAAATGGAAATTACAGAATGCTCTTTTTTGCTGCCACAAATTTCAGTTTTGTTCCATTGAAATTGAAATTCACTTCAGTGTCATTGAAATTTCTTTTGTCAGTCCCTTTTGTGAGACCATGAGTTCTAATCTAAATTCAGATATCCAGATAAAAATTAGAAATACCCTGCAATTATATCAGATTATACCCTCCACTTGTACACCATATATATATAAGATTTGTTCTCTTTTAAAAAGCTTATTACCTGCAATTAGATGTCTTTTCCATATTTTATTTTTTTTACTAGTAATAATTATCAATGGTAATGACAATAGGGTTTCAGCAAAAATTGCCTTTTTTGAAAAATTTTGAAATTTTGAAAATTTTGAAAATTTTGAAAAATGTATTTTTGAAAAATATATGCAATTTGTTAACAAAGAAACATATTTTTTCAGGCAGACACAACTGTGGGGTTACCGACTGTGGGGTTACCAAAACCAACCTGTGCTTGTGATCCAGTCATTATATCCAGGATTCAAACCAGCTTCCCTACAGAAGAAACCACACAGATTTTCTATGTCTTTTAGTTTCTGAGGTGAGCTGGGAATTTTGACCTTGGAGGCACTTTAAAGAATAAGCAATATTGCCCATGTTCTCCTTATGCACTTTGCAGCTTGGGGACATGATCATCGCCGTGACCTCGCTGCCCCAGCCAGTGCCCAGGACAGCAAGGCATTTGCAGGTGTCTGCAAAGTGGGCTTCTTGCTATGCTGATGTTTCAGGATGGCAGATTTCCATCCCAGAGAGAGGATAAGATAAGCCTGAAATGTATTTTCTGTAATGGATGGAAAAATTCTTGCTCCTAAAGACCTTACAGACTGTGAAAACTGCTGCAAAGCAGTACAATGTCACCACCAAACCCAGGAGCCCAAGCACTGAGTGCAGCACTGAAAATAAAGGATTTTGCTAGTCTCTAGCTGAACTGAAAAATGGTCATGAAATAGCAGGGTGATACTCGGTTTCCTTCCTTCCAAACAACAACAACAACAAAAAAAAAAAAAAAAAAAAAAAGAAAGAATAATAGTATTAAAATCAAATAGGACTAAACTTTTTCTAGAGTTCTTGTCTAAAACACATAGATCCATAAGCAAGTTTTCTGTGAACTTGTATCCTGTGATTGAAGCAGTGTTTGGAGCTTCATCTGCAACTGGCATTCTGCTCTGTATGCTTTGGAATCTAATAAAGGCTGAGTTTATGTTGAAATTAAATTCAGAATTTAAAGATTTTTTCTGTTCTCTACTGAGCTGCCTGTTTTCACAGAAAAATGAAAAATTATAGTAACTTAGTTATCTTTGAGACCTCTGTCAAATCCAGCTGAAATCAGGCAATGAGTTGAAATATTATTAGGAGGGAATGTATACAGACACTCACACAGCTGCATCTACATCCATGTAGATACAGAAAGATAAACCAAATCAACTGTGTCTCCAGGTGGAGAAGGAGTATAATTTGATAAATATGAAAATGCATCACTTTATACATAAAAGCAAGAAAGAAAACAAAATATTTTCTTTAAAATCATTAACATCAATATTTAAACCTATTCCCTGTTTTCCTTAGCACATTTGCAAGTTCCTTTCAAAATCATGAGTTGCTTCAGTCAGATTAGGCATACATTTTTTGTTTGAAAATATTTTGCAGTAAAATTGCACTCATCAGCAGGGTGGAATAATTTCACTTGTTCTCCTCAGATATGTGGTAGAACTCTTAATTCATCTAAGAAAGTTGGGCTGTTGAAGCCAAATGCCAACACCGTTAGATCTCTGCCCTTACACAAGAAATCAGTGGACCAAGAGTTCCCAGACACAAAAATGCCTCTGGAAAATATATTCATTGCCTTCAAAATGGAGATAAAGCTACTAATTATTTTACAGTAAAAGTTGTTATTTACCTTTCTGTGTATTGCTGGTTGCTTTTGTTTATCTCTTGTTGCTTTTACCCTTTTTTTGGTTGCTCAGAGGAAAGGACTGAGGAAGGTGGAAGATGCTTGAGAAATAGTTTAGTCCCTAATATGCTTGCAGTGTAGACTGCTAGATAAAGTGAAGAGCAGCATCAGAAGTAATGGTGTCTACAGCCTCTTCTTACCGTTCCATTTACCTGCAGCTTTTGGCACATGGTTACAGCTGTATTCCTCACATTTCACGGGGTACTATTGTATTTCTCCCTTCTCTTTCTTCAGTGATGAATTTCAGGTGGCAAATGAACACTGCATATGGTTAACTCAATTAGCTGGGAAGATGCTGAGTGCAGTTAGCAAGCATTGCAAAGCAGGGTGGCAAAAAAGCACGGTTTAGAATATTTCGAATTCAATTCAATGTTATGAATATCAATTTCTGCTTTCTAGAAGGAAATCAGCACTTAGCTATGAGTCTTGACCAAGCGTTAGTAGGGATTGAAGTCAAGATTTTGAGTGGTTAAATCCAGTGGTTAATTTCAATACAGTGAGGTAAATTTACTAGTTAAAATATGCATTTGCCATATGAGTCATCTGCACTTTTCTTAAGGCAAAGGGCCTCTATTCTGTCTCCCTTTAACAGACTAGCAATTCCCACTGAATTTCCCAGTGCTTGTAGCAAAAAGATGAGCCTGTTCAGCTGTGCTTCCCAGAGTTACTCATCTCTTTGCTAGAGTGGTGGCTGTTCAGGGTATGTGTTTGGCAGTAAAGTCAGTCAATCCTGTGTGTGTAACTGCATGTCTCACCTGGTGTGGCCCCGCTCACCACAATTGAAGTTGCACATGGTTAGGCCAGGAGAAGAGGTCTGCTTTTAATTGTGTGGGATGGAGATAAAGCTGTGAAAAAGTGAAATTAAACAGCTCCCCCCTTCAAGACCATTAGGACTATACAGCAGGCTCTGGCCCTTTCCATAATGAAGGCCGAGATGTTTGCACAGCCCTCGGCTTGCAGTGAGCTGCTTTAATTAAACCTAGCCTAGCCCACGCATGAACCCAACTGGTGAATTTGGGTTGCCTGGAGAACGTGCCACCTCATCCAGTTATCTCAGGGAAAAGTGGGGGATGAGAATAAACACAATCCAGGCTGCACAGATGCTCGGGGAGGCTTAGCGCCTGCCTGCGGGATACCTGTGGCTCCCGCGCTGCCTGTGACCGTGCCTCAGGCCCTGCCACCGCCCCCCCCCCGCAACCGACCGAGACAGAGGACTTGGTCCGGGGGACAGCCCTGCAGCCCCTGCTGCCCCTCTCGTGCTTTCGGCCAGAAAGTACACAGGTATCAAACGGAACCGCGGGATGGTATTGAAAGAGCAAGTGAGGCGGAAATTTAAAGCCCCTCTGCTAATAATAACAGTATAAATAACCGAAGACGTCTTGTAAACAGTGCGGTCATAACCCTGAAACATTAAACAGCGTGGTGGGATCTGGCGCATCAGCTGCCGGCTGCCGCTGCTGGTGCAGGGGGAGCGCCCCGCACTCCTGTTTATCTCAGCCTCATCTCCCGCGGGCGCGCTGATCGATAGAGAAGAGATGTTTAAGTTAAAAATTCCCAGCACTGAGGACCGACTGTACTTTATCAATAGATCACTGCTCCTGTCCCCGCGGAGCGGATCGGAGCGGCGGGGGTGGCTCCCGCCGTGCCCGGTCGCCGGGCTGGGCTCCCGCAGCGAGGACGAGCTGCGGGCCTAGTCACCCCCTCCTCCAGGGGTTTGCTCCAGGTCTCTAGCTCCAGGGAAGCAGACCTCCCGTGGGCCGGGGCAGAAGAGAAAGGATCCCCGCAGCGCTGTCGCTTCGGGGAGCGGCGGAGGCAGCGGAGGCGCAGTCCTTACCCCGGCGAGCCCGAGAGTCGCAAACGAACATTTCCACCGCTCCGTGTTCAGTAGAAAGGAAGGTTTATTCACAGAAATAGAGCAGAACCTGCTTGAAGAAAATATATCTGTATATCTTTAGGTTGAATTACTTCATAGAGATGACTGTCAAAGTCAGTTTTTCTAGGCATCTACATATTTCACAGGTCTCAGACAAAAGATACACGCGTGGTAGGTTTTGTTTGATCTCTGTCTTTTCTCTAGTAGCGCTTGAACCAGCAAGGCTGTGGTTGCAGGACACTCGACTGTACACGCATTTAATAAAGTTAAATAGAGTCGGGATCTCTCGGGGTGGATGGAGTCTTTGCTAGGGCACATTTGGTCTCCTTTGCGCCGGGAGAGCGGCTCTCCCCATGGCTCTGCCCGGGGCCCGGGGCAGCGGCGGGGCCGCGGCGGGTCCCTGCCCGCTCCCCGGCCGCGCCGGGACGGACGCTGCTGGCCCGGCCGCGGGGCTCAAGATGCCGTCGGGCCGCACAAGCGGTTTGTGTTCACCACTTCTTTCAGGTCACTCTCGGGTTTGCCGGCTACCATAAAAGGCCAAGTCTGTAGCCAGGAAAAGACACGGGTGGGAAGGGGGTTACATAGGGAAAAATGCAAATTGCAACGCTCATTTTGCCATCGGGTCCGGCTCGGGAGTGCCCGGGGGGACCGAGCCCGGCATCCACCGCCTGAGCCCGCTTCGGGCAGCGCTCAGCGGGGCTCAGGCCGGGGCAGTCGCCGTTGACTTCGGCGAGGAATCTTTTGCCTTTTGCCGGCGGCTGATGCCGTTTTGCCTCACAGCCGTAGCGGTCCCTCCGGGCGTCCTCGGGGCGGCGGAGCCCGTCTGATCCGCGACAGGAGGGACGGAGAAAGGAGGTGGGGAGGAAGCCGCCCGGCTTCAGTACATTCTGCATCCCCCCGGCACAGTCGCCTCGGGCACCCCGTCGCAGGCGCGCCGCCCCCGCGCTTGGTTGTGACCGGCGTGGGGACCCTAACCCTCCTCTCACCCCGCCGCGCTCTCTAGGTGCAGGAGCCGCTCGGGGCCCCAGCAGTCCCCGGCCACTCTCCCCGGCCTCCTGCGGCTCGGGGAGTATGCTTTGGTGTGCCTCCGTGTGGGAGCAGGGGTGTGTGTTATATCAGTATTGGGTGTTGGTTTTGTTTTACTTCATTTTTTCCCCCATGTCGTTGCGCTGAGGATTTTTATCTTAATCACAAACTATTTCCCAGGCCCTTATCAGCTAACAGCGGGTAATGTACTTTCTCTCAGAGTCCAGAGCTCAAAAGGCAGAGTCTGACCCTAGTGAATTGTCCCCAGATCCCCTCTGTGATCCCTTTAGGCATCAGGATCCGCATGTGTGGGTAATGTAAAGCCTGTACAAAGTCTGAAAAGAGCCCAGGGAGATCTTACTCGCCCCTGGTTTACATCATTTGTATGTATTTTTAGAGCTGGAAATCGGATGTTTCTGGTGGCTGGGTATGGTTGGGAGACCCCGGGCTGCTTGGGAAAACTTTCAGTGTGTGGTGGGAGCAGCAGGAAGGACACCGCATAGACTAGGGAGAGGCATTGTGGAGTGTGCCTGGGGCAGACACCTTCCCTGGGGAGTCCGCACTTGTATTTACTTCTCCTTCACCAGTTTACACTGGTAGGAGAAATATCCTGGACCCAGCAAACATGAGTGGCTGAGCACAGAGCCCCAAGAGCTCTGTCTTTAAAAAGTTAGGGCTTGGGGGGACTATTATGACAGGAAACATTATGGTAGAGATGCAGGATAAGAATAAATCCCAGGTCCTTGGCTTAGGCCCTTCCTCAAACATACTCTTTTCTACCCAAATTCCTGTACCTGCCTACTTGCAGGTAGAAAGCTGCCATCAACCCTCTGAGGTTTCTCAGGCATTTCTGGGGCAGTAAAGAATAAAGCCTACCCCTGTCTATTTGTGGCCAGCATGGCCCCTGCCTGTCTTCTGGAGGGGATGGCTAGGAACAGCAGAGGGGGCCCAAAAGGCTTGGTGTGCGGGATACAGGGCAAGAGGGTAGCTGGGACCCTGTTCCCTCACACACTACTGCTTTCCATCCCACTGGCACATGACTGTATGTGGGAAGCACAGTGAAATTTTGTCCCTGCACATGCCCCATCCCAGCTTCTCACCCACCTCTACCCATGTACACGCAAAGAGTGCCTGGCCCGAGCGGGCTCTGACTTACCAAGTTGACTGGGTGGATGTAGCCGTTTTCATACTTGTCATTGGCCAGGATCTGCCTCAGGTGAGCAATGTAGCTGGAGGCCAATCTCAAGGTGTCCAGTTTGGAAAGTTTGGTGTCTGGGGGCACCCAGGGCAGGGTGGTCTTAAGCCTGGAGAAGGCTTTGCTAAGGACCCTCATCCTTGCCCTCTCCCTGGCGTTGGCAGCATTTCTCTGTACCTGCTTTCCCTCCTGGCTCACTCCATTTAAAGGGCTCTTCTTGGGGGGAGCTTTTTTCCTCTTGCCCGAGGCCCCTCTCCCCTTCTGAGGGGAGCCATTCTCGCCATTGGATCCCTCCTCGTTGCTCTCGGTGGACGCCCCAAACTCTTTGTTAGTATCCATTTTCAGGCCATCGCATTCCAGCATCTCCACCTCCTGCAGATCTTCTACATCGCTGAGGGACCCAGTGGACATGGTCTGGAAGATGCCAAACGACCAGCAGGAAAGGGGGAGGGGGGGAGGAAGAGCAGCTCCTTGAATCTATTTCAAGGCCGTGTAGGAGAGAAGGGGTGCCAGTATTTTCCTCCCCTTCCCTCCCTGCCCAGGACTAAGGCACGATACCAGTCCAGAAAGGATCCCCGCCCTCCCGCCCCCCAACCCTGCTTTGCCTGTGCCTGAGGGAGGGAGATTGTGAGAGAGGGAGAGAAAGAGGGAGCGAGAAAGCCGAGGAATTTAGTGAGGACACTAGTAATTTATCTGGGGGATAAGAGAGGCGGATCCAGCCCAGGGGAGGGGCCCTGCCCACTGAGCACACCACATCCCCAATCACAGACCTTTACACAGGACAGAGAATGAGGTATCCCAGCAAGCCTTTGCCGAGAGCTCAGAACTGGGATTCAAATCTTCACAACTGGACTAAAACAACTTGCTCGCACTCTGTTCCCCTGCTCTGTCTTTCTATCCTCCCCCTTCCTCCTCCTCCTCCTTCTCCTCCTCTTCTCCCTCCCCACTTCCCTTTTCAGCCCCAGAGTTGCTCTCCCCCTCTCTGCCTCCTAGATGACCCAGGCAGCTGGTGTCATGATTCTTGATGAAAGCCAAAATGGGTCATGAGCACAGAGAGCAGCAGATCCACCAGCCAAGCCTTCCAGGGAGCTCTGTAATGCGTGCTGTCGAAACGCTGTCCTGTAACCTAATCTGGGGGAGATTTGTGGATGATTATATTTGCAAATGCATCCTGTCCAGCTAGTAGCATATTCCAGGAAGGGAGTGCTCCTCTGCCTGTCCAGCACTGTGGACCTTGCCGTTAGCCCAGGGGCTGGAGGCAGGAAGATCTGACTTCTTCCAGCCTTCCGGGGTGACATCCAACAAGCCCCAATCCCTTCTCACTCACTGAGTCCTCCCAGCTGTAAATGTTGCGGAAGATTTCTGGTCCGCAGGTGTCCTGGGTGGCCAAGATCCTGGCTGGCCATGAGCCCCACTGAGCTGAGGGGAGTGTCATGCTGCTGGGGCGGGGGGGTGGGCTGCCAATAGGGTGGCAAGGGTGTGCACGAAATGAAGAAAAAGGACGAGGGTTATTGGATGATAGAGATCCCTCAGAAGAAAAACCCTTTTCTTGGTGTGTGATTGCAGAGCAGATGTCAGTGGTTCATTCTGCTGTACCTGTGTTTTGTCTGCCAATTCATGGATGCTCAAAAGTCAGGGAGTTTTGCCTGAATAAAGAGGTGAGATAAGGGATAAAACCCCTTCTGTGAGAGGGGAGCATTAGGCCAGGCTTTGCAACCCAGCCAAACATTCCCAGTGGTTTTACCACAAGTGTGAATTAGCAGGTTGCTGTGTAGTTTGAATGAACAGACATATGCTGCTGTTGCAATCTTTATGCACATGTGTATTCAGTCTCACCAGAGCAGGCTTTTAAAAGCGGTTAACCTTGTCTTATCCCTTCTTCTTCTCCATGTAAAACAGTCTTCTAAACCCACATGTGGAGCCCAAAGAGGTCAGTGAAGCAGGAACTTGCTCCCATAGCTCCTTCCCCCCTCACACAGTTCCTGAAACCTCGCAGGTGCCCCAGCAGCCTGGGTTTTGTACACAGGGGACTGAAGAGCTGGGCACAATCTGCACACGGGACCTCTCTGGACACAGGGACTGATCTGATTGCATGAGCAAACCACTTATTCAACTGCTTACCTGAGGATTCACATAGCTCCAGACAAAAATTTGCAGCCTCAGATGTGGCTTGATAGTTAATCCAAAGTCACTGGAGTGACAGAAAGAGTCTCTTACTGGTCTGTGTGAGCATCACATGGAGTTGTCTGCATGCACTAACTAAAAAACAACCATCCAAACAAAAATTGTGGAGGGCCAAAATGGTAAGTCTGCTGAATGCTTTGCACTGTCTGCAGATTTCAAGTTTCAGTAGCAGGCAGAATGTCATTTTTGACAACCAGCAAGGAGGTGTTGCCTATGTCTTGATCCATGTTGGCTTCTTGGTTCATGTAAGCCAGAAAAAAAAAGGGCAAATCTAAACTCTAAACCACCTCTTTACTCTTTGTCTGGAAGATAACACCTTCCCACTCACAATAGGATAAGTACACTAAGATATCATATCTCCAAGCCTCAGGCTTTTGGGAATTCACTGACTTCTAACATCATGTAGTGTTAACTGTGCCCTGTTTCTGTTTTTCTGTGTATAAACTAAACAGATTGTCAGCGTATCCATCCTAATTAATGAATTAGCTTTGGGCGTTTTTTGCCTTTTTTTTTTCTTTATAACATTGCTGGTACAGATCTAAAATATTACTAATCACCAATGGAGATTTATGAGCCTCCTTATTTTCTAGGCCTGATTGTTGTTTGTGCAGGTGGAGATTTAAATGGCCATATCGATTGCAGAGATTTATAGTCCAAGTGATTGATGTTAGAATTGAGCTACAAGACTCTTATTGGAGCGAGGATGACAGAAAACCAAGTTGAGGTTGCTTATGTCTCTAAGCATGAATGACCAGAGAGGACAAAATCCCATCAAAATTTCCGCATCAGAAGTTCCCAGAAGAATAAAACAACAAAAATATATACTAATAGCCCTTCCATCACTTATTTTTAACTTTACTTTAGTAATTTCTAAACTTTTGTTGTAAAAAGTAGAAGGAATAATCTGGCTTTTAAAAAATGTCTTTACTATGCTGCTACATGTGCATTCTAATATCAACATATGCATACATGTATGTTATGAGCCTTAGAATTTCCATATATGTGCAGTTTTTACTTATTTACATACATTTTTGAGTCCTCAAAGCCATTGAAATTGACCTAATACAGATCACACACTTCTGTGGAGACACAGGATGCCTTTTTGTATTCATTTTGTGGAGATCATTGCATGTATATGATGTACGCTCACATACATATAGTATAATATACATAATGTCTATTGTGCATACAAACTATGACACACTCTTTTAACAACATATTTATCCATCTTTCCCTCTCCAAGAGGGCCAGCATGGGCAAAAAACATATCTTCTCATCTCCAGGAAACTCCTGCTTCCTTATTTGTTTGTTATGTGACTTGAATCTCTGCTTTTCCAACCTTCCTCCTCCTTATGTCCTACGTGGCAAGCCCAGGGCTTATACCCCTCATCTGGCTCCCAGTTTCAATCCTTTGTCCCTCACCTGTATTTCCTTGCCCAGCCCTCCTGACTCTCTGAAGTGCTACCCTGATTTGAAATAGACACTGACAGTGTGGAAACCAACCTAATCCTGTGGGAAGGGTAAAACTGGGGTGGCTGCAGCCACTTCCATAATGGTGTTACCACTTGCTTCTCCAGTTAGATGACTGGGACTACAGAGGTTAATAACTGGCTGGGAAAGACAGATGGAGCTAAAGTCCTTTTGGCCTTCCCAGTATATTCGGTTCTTCATTCATGTTTTAAAAAGGAAGTTGAAATACTGGCATGGGGAACATCAGTACAAATCTGTGGATTTACCCTGTAGATGACTTTCTCCTCTGCACTGCTCTGGCTACACAGGACTATGTCTCTCTCTTAATTCTAATTGAGACCCACTAAGACAGGCCATTTAGGACATACCTAAGGTGCTGGGGACAAAGATTCAGGATGCCTGGTCTGAAGGGTGTCAGATGGGAGACATGTCACACGTAGGCTTATGCTGGTCTATGACAGGTTACAAATTTCCCTCTGAAAAAAACGTCCCACTCCAATCTTCCCTTCCTTGTGCAGGAATAACACAGTAATTTGAGAACAGCTTTGAAACTTGAGGCCAAGTTTTCTGCAAGTGTCTTATGGTTTTGCATGGCAGGGATTGGTTTATTTTTTGATGTTCTGTGTCGTTTATCAGGGCACTGTATTTTCACTGCACATTGAACAGTCACCCAAGAAGAAACTCAAATCACCCACAGCTGAGGAAAACATAATCCGTAGCTGGTTTTAAAAGTATTTGCCCAAGTATAATACAGGTGTTTTCCTATATTTGGGGAATAACCAAGGAAGTCACCCACAGGCAGCCAGCTGATCATGAATCATGTTCAGTCAGTTTTGAGAATAATCAGGAATAAAAGTATAACTGTATTATGGTTTTCGAGTTGCAATTTTAAAAAAAATTCTGGTTGCACTGAGGTTTCTCCTCCTCACTCTTGCTCTCACCTGGAAACCAAGTAAAATGGTAGAGGGGCTTCAGAAACATACTTCTACATACCTTAAGTGAAATAATGCCAAAAATATACTATTTTACACAAATAATACTAATAATAACAACCAATACAAATAAGGTAATACTACTAGTACTAATAATATAAGAATCCTGTGACATTTTTGCAATATTGTAGAGGATGGACAGTGCTGGGGAAATTGATCAAAACTGTTTGTAACAGTGGAGTAGCTTTTTGGAAGGGTCAGGGCACTGAAACCCTCCCACAACTCATTTCCAGTACTGTGTGTCTGTTTCTGGTCACAGTTTTGGTTTGAATGGTAAAAGACATTGTGATAAATAACATAAAGCAATACACAAAGAGAAAAAATAATTGCATTACCAAAACAATAAAAAGGCTCTTCTGGAGAACGGGCCCAAGGGGCACATATTTGTATATGACACCAGCATCACTGTCCATCCCTAAGAAATCTCAGTACCTTGCTTCAAACCCCTGAAAATTCAGATCCTCTTGAGAAGCTGTTTTCTGGAACATTATGGGGAAAAAAACCCAAAAATATTTCCTTTTATTTTCATTTCAAAATATCTGAAGATTTTACTGATGCCTAGAATGGAAAAATTTCAGTCTTACTGATTAGAAAATTTAAGAGGAAATAAACTGTAGTTTCAAGAAAATTTATGTAGAAAGTTATGCAGGAGCGATAATTCCATTTCATGTGACTTTTTAAACCTTGAAATATCACAAACCCGTTGAAACTCTGGGAAGTGAGTTCAAGAAAAAATTCTTTAGTGGATATTGAAAAAATATTTCGTGAAACTCAAAATATTTAATTTCAGATTTAATATTTTAATCCTTTGCCACATTGATGACATCCTGACTTATGACACCTAGTACCTTTTCCTTTGAGTGGCTCCACAAAAATCGGCAGGGCTGCTCACACAGTAAACCAGCCTGTATGAACAAGAATGGCAAAAACTGCCTCTGTAGAAGCAAAGTCATGCTTAAATATCCCAGTGCCTAAGAGAGATACTGACAACAAGGTCAGTGTCTTAATCATGAAGGATGCATCAATTCATCAAATCCTGGTGTGACTCCCTCCTCCTCCTATTCCAGATCTCTGGTGTGGGATTTGGGACTGCTGCTGTGTTAAGCAT